CAAAGGGGTCGCGACCCACAGGTTGAGAACCGCTGGCCTAGAGTAAAAGTGAAAATTTTTGGAAGAAACATCCTTATTTTTTATTATAGCTGTTTCTACTGACAGTTTTAGTGAATTAAAGACTCTTATTTTGTTTAAAGAGCTAAGGTAAGTATTCCATTATATATATATATGCTAATCTTCTTTATCCAATCATCTACCCAAAAGAACTGTGGTTATTTCCACATCTTGGCCCTAAGAAAAGATGAAATATTTCCATTTGCAACAACATGGATGGATCTTGAGAATATCATCCTAAGCAGAATAAGTTAGACAGAAAAAGTCTAAAACCATATGATTTCACTCATATGTGGGATATAAAGTTTAAAGGGGCAATGAACAAACAAGACAAACAAAACTCATAGACCCATACAACAGTATGGTTGTTACCATGGTGTGTAGGAGATGTAAAGGAGAAAGGGGGTCAAATACATGGTGATGGAAAAAGATTTGACTTTGGGCCAGGGTATACAATGCAATATACAGATCGTGTATCATAGAAGTGTACACTTCAAACATACAATTTTATTAACCAATGCCACCCTAATAAATTTAATTAAAAATAATAATTTAAAAAGGAGCTAAGATAAGAAAAATACCAATAGAGGTAGCAATTGGAGAAGGTAAATTAAGGCCTAAATATTGTTACTAAATGCAAAGCTGTAGCAGAAATATTCCTGAATAATTTGAGACTTAATGTACCAATATGTTAATTATTGAGCAAAAATTTTGCATGGAAGTTTTCTAAGGATTAGAGCTAAAACAAACTATCTCTCTTCACCTCTTTCATTCCTTGTTCAGACAAATTGCAATTTCTTAATCATTTATCTCTATTCCCTATATTCTAATATACTCAAGAATTTGGGACTCATAATTTCTGTTAACTCGATTTTTACCAATTTTAAATTTAAAAAAATGTGAAAATAAGAAATACAGAATATAAAAAATAAAAATTAAAAACACTATTTTTTCTTAGACTTTGTTTTGGAAAGATATTAGCAAATTTTATGCACTGTGTCTGATTTATTATAAAGTTCACACTAATTTGGCTATATCCCGGTACCATTCTTCTTTTTTTTTTCCTTTACCTATGTTATCAGGAGCTTCTCTATGTTCCCCTTTCTCTGTCTCTTTCAGTTTGTTTACTTATTTATTCACTTAGTTCATCTTGGGGTTAAATCTTTGTTTCTACTACTGTATTATTCTTTTACCCAATGCCATTCTAGTTTTTCTTTTCTTTGATATTGGCTGAGCTTGGTGGATGTAAAAATTTAGAAATATGAGTGATATTTTATAGGGACCTTGAAGAATAAAGACAAGTTGAAGTAGAAAAGAGGTATAGGAAACATTATAAGAAGCACTAAAAATACATTGATACTTTGGGGTGCAAAGGTGTGTATATGTTTCTAGGATAGGAAAAGGGGGAAATCTATATCATAAAAGGCCTGTGGTCATGACACCATAATGGCACATGACCACAATTGGTCACCAGGAGGTGCATGGAGCACTTCTCATGGCTCATGTGGTGGAGGCAGGGTCTGTTGCCTGCAGGGGAGGGCAGGTGGGGGTCTGGGGCTCATGCAATTTTGGGCGCTAGGCCTCTAGTGTTTTTATAATAAACCAATTAATAATAGCCTTACACTTTAATCAAAATAGTTAGAAAATTAAAAGAAAATCCATAGACGTGATATATTTTTACTCTGACAATAATACTATATTGACTTAGATACTGTTGGCAAAATATCAAAAGCCATATAGTTTGTTACAATTTCTAGAACCTATTATACGTGTTTTAATTATGACAAACCAAACCTGTAAACTTATTTTGAAAGCCCCAAGAACTAAAATTGCTAATAATTGCTTGTCATTGGTGGTTTACCCATTTTTAAGGATATATATATTATATGAACTGTTAATATTAACCAATAATAAACATATAAAAGGCTCTGCTGATGTGAATCCCAACCACGGAATCTTCCCCCTGTACAACATTTAAAAAGAGTAGAGGCAACACATTTTTAATTTTTATTTAATTTTATTTTTAATATATATTTTTATTGATTTCAGAGAGGAAAGGAGAGGGAGAGAAACATCAGTGATGAGAGAGAATCATTGGCTGGGTGTCTCTGCACGCCCCCTACTGGGGGTCGAGCCCACAATCCCTGCATGTTCCCTGACGGAGACTAAAATCCTGCCCTCCTGGTTCACACTGATGCTCAACCACTGAGCATAGACAGACCAGGACACTTTTTTAATTTTTAAATTTATCTTTATTGTTGAAGGTGTTACAGGTGTCCCCTTTGTTCTTTCCCCCCATTGACCCCCTCCATCACACATCTGCCCCTCCCACTATTGTGTGTCTTCATGGGTTATGCATATATGCATATAAATTCTAGGGTTAATCTCTCCCCATCCTCCACCCCACCCCTGACTTCCCTCTGAAATTCGTTAGTCTGTCCCATGCTCTATGTTTCAGGACCTATCTTGTTCATCAGTTTATGTTGTTCATTAGATTCCACATATGATTGAGATCATGTGATACTTATCTTTCTCCGACTGCCTTATTTCACTTAGCATAATACTCTCCAGGTCCATCCACACTGTTGCAAATGGTAAGAGTTCTTTCTTTTTTATAGCCACATAGTAGTCCATTATGTAAATGTACCACAATCTTTTTATCCCTTTATCTGCTGTTGGACACTTGGTCTGTTTCCAAATCTTACTGTAAAATGCGCTAGTTTTTAGTGTCAATTTCCCCCTTGGTTCCTAACATATAAAGGTGTTAAATATGACCTAATAGAGTCTGATCCTAAAGCCCAGTCTCTCCAACTGAGTCCATGTGGAAGTGTTCTTGGTGCTGTTGGAAAGGATGGACATCCAAAGTCAGTAGCTTCCCTTAGGCTGCTTCACATAAAGACAAAGCACACACTGCAGTCAACTCTAAACTCTCCACACCACCGGGGGGACATCCCTGCACTGGGAGTTTGTAAACCATACTTAATGACAAGTGCTAGCGAGGATGTGGAGAAAAAGGAACCCTCGTGCACTGCTGGTGGAAATGCAGACTGGTGCAGCCACTGTGGAGAACAGTATGGAGTTTCCTAAAGAAACTAACAATGGAATCCCTGTTTGACCCAGTGATCCCACTTCTAGGAATATATCCCAAGAAACTAGAGACACCAATCAGAAAGGATATATGCACCCCTATGTTCATAGCAGCACAATTTACAATAGCTAAGATTTGGAAACAGTCTTATAAGTGCCCATCAGTAGATGAGGGGATTAGAAAACTGTGGTACATCTACACAATGGAATACTATGCTGCTGTAAAAATGGAGGAACTCTTACCATTTGCAACAACATGGATAAACCTGGAGAGCATTATGCTAAGTGAAATAAGTCAGTTAGAGAAAGATAAATATCACATGACCTCACTCATTTGTGGAATATAATGAACAACATAAACTGATGAACAAAAATAGATCCAGAGCCAGAGAAGCATCAATCAGACCATCAAACCTCAGAAGGAAGGCAGGAGAGGATGGGGTAAGGGTGAGAGATCAATCAAAGGACTTGTATGCATGCATATAAGCATAACCAATGAACACAGACACTGGGGGGGGGGTGAGGGCATGAGCTGGGGTTGTATGGGGAGCAAAGGGGGGATATGGACACATATGTAATACCTTAATCAATAAAGAAAAAATTGCAAACTCAGTCACCTTATAATAAAATTCCCGTATTAGAAAAAACAACCACCACCATACTTATTCGCTCTGTGGGATACACCTGCAAAGTCAATTTACTGTCTTAGTTATACTTTACAAAAAAAGTATAAACTGTTCTGTAGCAAAAAACCCCCACATTTATCACACACATACCTGTTAAATGACAAATTATGGATTTGGGGATTTGACAAAAAAGCATAGACTGAGATGTGCAGCCGCCAAAGAGAGTCATTAATATACATGCAAGCCTGGAAGATCATAGCTCATGGCAGGCCTAAACGCTAACGTTTGCCTTTAAGAGAAAGCTCTATTACAAGAAGAATTTCTGGAATGCTTTTATGATTATTTAGGTCAGAATCCTTCTCCCTCAAAGCAATCAGTTAGGTCCTCGCAATGAATCTGAATAAGCCAAAGCAAACCTACAAGAAAAAAAGCTAAATGATATCAAACTTGCTACTGTTATTTAGAAGGGGTAAGAAAGTTTTGGTTTGGGAGTGATGAAGGAAGGAGCCTCAAGCCATGGAAGAGAGCTTTTGAAAAAACTTCAAACAGTGTAGCTGACATGAAAGCGGATTTCTGTTAATATTACATATTTCTGCAAAGATTTTTAAAGCATCAGAGCATTGGGGGCCCTTTAGGCACATAGATCAATGCGGTTGATAGGAAAACAAACAAAAACAAACCTGCTTTTGTTTGCATCCAACCCCCACTTCTAGGGTTAGTGCATAAAACTGCTCATTGAGTTAAACAAATAGTAAGTTTTTAAAAATGCTCTGACATTTGGCTACAACTAATGGGTCAGATGATTTGATTTTGATGCTTTAAAATGACTACATTCAAGTCCATTCAATATTTTAAGCCCAATTCAGTCTATAAAAAGGATATAAGGTATGAATCATGCCAGGTAGAATATGAATATTTCCTTTTTGATATATATATATATATATATATATATATATATATATATATATATATATATATTTCTTTGTGAACCATTTGCTATTTTCATGAGATTCTGAGATGGCTATTTTCTCTTAAAGCTTTATGAAAATTGGTAAGGCTCAAGCTTGAGTTGATCCACAAAGTGTCCACAGAATTTAGTATTTTAGGTATCTATGATTCTTGTGTGACACAGAGTGTGGGAGTAAATGAAATGCTGACCCAGTGGAAACTTTCTGTGTGGGAATAGCTCCTGTGACATTAGATGTGGCTATCTTTCTTCTGACAGGGACTGTTTGGGGCCAGTCCTACATATCAACCAGGACCTTCTAGTCTCGAAGCAGAGGTGAGAGGCCAGCAGAGCCAGCACAAGCCAGTTGTGTTCCTGACCAAGCTTGTCCTCCAGCTGGCGGGATCCCATAGACACAGGTATGATCATCCAGGATGGGCATGTGACCCAAGTCTGTGTTGGCATGCTGTTGAGAAAAGAAGGATAAAGTTGAATTTGCTACAGGAAAGCCATGTAGAAAGTTGGGAGGGCTTTTGACTGTTGCAAGAAAGAATTGACTTGGGTTCATGTTAATCAAAATCTAATGTTAATTTTATTCTATAGGCGGAAACATGAATGGATCAGGATGAGAGTGGGTCAAAATATTTGCTATGCAGATATGACTTTTTAAATCATCAACCGCTTGGGAGAATATTTACTAGATAATATAAATCTGTGGTGTTTTTCCTCTTACCTCCGTGGGTGCTGCCTAACTAGTAATGAGCGATCCAAAGCTTACATTCCCTCATCCTATGTTAAGTGTAATATGAAAAATTAGAATATTTTGATATGATTATTTTTCTATGAAAATAAATCCGGCTCTATATTTATAAATTTGTTTTCTTATTAAACATACAGATATTTAATTTAAAAATAACTACAGAAAACCCAGTTAGACTGAAAAATGTAACTTTAAAACAAAATTTATCTTATAATTTTGATAGAGAGAACATTTATTGAAAAACATGAAAATGTATTTATATATTTTATTATTATTTGATTATTTTTCAAATCAAGTTTCCTCAAATTATAAAGTAATTAAGTGGTGAAATATTAAGACATTTTAAGAATGCAAGAGTGAAATCTAGGAAGAAGAGTGATATGTGATTTCTTTACAGAGTTATCAAAAATATTATTTTGGGAAAAATGTTTTTTCCTCTTTAATCACTATTTATTTATGTATATATATCTAGAGGAGACAGGTTATTATGCATTTTTAGAGTGTATTGTTTATAATAGTTAAGAACAGATGAACAATCATCTTTTTGATTGAATATTAATCAATAAAGAAAATACATAATATATACCTGTAGTAAACTTACATATTTCTATATATTTCTATAAGTATTATGTTTCAGTATAAGATATATGTTTATATCACATATATATTTATATATACATTTGAACTAATACTAATTTATTATAGTTTTACATATTTATATATACTTATCATATACATTATTTATATGTATTTATTTGAACTAAAGACTCTCATTTACCAGCTTTGTGACCTTGGAAATATTGTTTATACTCTTGGAGGCTCAGTTGTCTATAAATTGGAAAAAATGTATCACTCTCTGCATTGTAATTAGAATTAAAGTTATACATCTCTCACTTAATGTTACTTTCTAAACTCCCTTTCCTGAGCCATGTGATTCCTGTCTGTTTCTCACACATTAAGAGAGGAGTTATGACTCCAGTGACTATAAGGTTTGAGTAATATGAATGGCTGAATGGTGTCTGACATAAGACAATCTAGCAAGTTGAGGAATTTGTCAGATTGCCTTGTGTGTGTGTGCCCTTCCTAAGGTGGAATTACTCTATTTGGTATATAATTTCAGGATATAATTTTCATTTGGCATAATTCAGGCACTAAGTGATAAAATATAATGTTTCAAAAGATGATATAAATCTAGATTTTTATGAGAATATAAAACATCAATTTTAAAAATTTGGCAGTGAATTCAATTATTTTAAAAACTTATTATACCATGCCCACATATTGCAGTGCACCATTATTTAATTGTGTAGGACTTCATTGAAAAGCATCACAAAGGGACATTTGAAAAATTGTTTTTTCTAATATTCTGAGATAAATGGTTACTTTAACATGTTTATTTCATTCTATCACATTTATCATTTAACTCTCCTAGTACTTCATGCTGGATGTTGTCATTTTTCAATGTTGTTGATTATGCCTTATGAAACACTGCCAAGGATTCTAGCTGTATTCTTTGCCTGCAGCCCTCAGAAATGAATGAGGAGAGAATGACATATGCAGAGCTAAAATTGCCCTATCCAAAGAAGCAGAACAAAAGACATCCAACTCGTAAAAGGAGAGGTAAAGTTTTTTTCTTGTTTTATGAAAGCATAATAACAGGTAAGAAAAAAACATGAAAACATGATAATTGTGTCCCTACATATTTGATATTGCATGTCTGGTTCTTTATAAATCTAGGAACATATATAAATTTAATAGTTAATGAAATTTGTGTCCACAGTAAATAGTGATATTATTTTTAAACTCTAGAATAAATTTTCATTTTGTTCTAATTCTGATGGCTTTGCTATGTTCAATGTTTACTATATATTTGGTGGTGGTTTTTATTTCATTTTGTACAGAATTCACATGGAAAATCATTGCAATAAGCCTGGGAATGCTCTGTTTTCTTCTCCTGCTGGTAATCACGGTCTTAGGATATATGAGTAAGTAGTAGATTCATACATTTCTTGTGAGAACAATGAGCCGGGATGAACACTGAGGTACTATGACTACTGACCCTCTGCTGAGCCTTTGTAAACTATGAGCTTCGATAGAAATGGTGGTGATTGATGATGGTGATTTTGTTATTTTGCTACCACTTAGCTGTTATTCCACACAAAACAGTGTTACCGCCCAAGTAGTACTAAATTTTGCTGATCTGTAAAGTGAGGTTTAAATGTACAGTCAAACTTATTTTTTATATAGAATGAGGTATTCCATATGGCCAGAGAATTAGGAGAATCTTTATTTGAATATTAATTTCCTTATTATAATGCGGTACTGCTTGAATCACAAAGGAAAATAAGCTCTATCTAATTTTCTGTATGAGTTTTGATATATTTCATATCAATTTTAAAACACTGTACACAATACTTGCTTTAAATAGCTTTCCCTTGATGATTATTCATTCTTTTGCTCACTCATTCAACTAACAATGTTGAGTATCTTCTAAGGGTTAGAACCTATGTATGACACCTAAAATACAGCTTTCAATGGACTCAGTTTAAAGGGGTAGATTTTTTAAAAAAATGAAGCTATCTTTATAATAAAATATTAGTGCTCACATAATGGCATGAAGATATCAGATGAATGGCATAGGACATGTTGAAATAAAAAAAAGCATTCCTGTAGGAAACAATAATTGATATGATATAAAAGTTAGTAGGAATTAGAATGTTCAGGTAGCGAAGAATGTTCTAGGTAGAGAACAACATGAAAAAAAGAACACATTTCTCTGACTGATTTACTTAGCTTAGCATAATACTCTCCATGCCCATCCATGCTGTCTCAAAGGGTAAGAGATCCTCCTGTTTTACAGTTTCATATATCACATGATCTCACATACTAGTATATATGGAATCTAAGGAACAAAATGAAATGATGAGCAAATAGGACCACAGACATGAAAGTATGAAACAGACTGACAGATCTCAGAAGGTAGATGGGAAGGAGAGCAGGAAGAGATTAACTGAAGAATTTATAGGCGTATATGCTAGTCCATGGGCACAGACAATAGACAGTTGAAATGAGGAAAATGGGGGGCATCTGTAATACTCTCAACAATAAAATAAATAAAAAATGACATATTTGTGTTTTAGAAGAATTACGGTTTCTGAGCAAATAAAAGAAGTGGCTAAAAGTCGGTTGGCTAGGTATACAATTCATACTAATCTTTTATTTCATGTTAAACAATTTTAAATTTGTTCTAAATACAAAGGAAACTATTCAAAGATTTTACTCGAGGGAACAATATGACTCATGTCACATAAGTAGATATGGATTTGGGAAAGGTCAGTCTGAGTAGACTGTATAATTGAGGGGATTAGATAGGAGGATGTTTCAAAAATTTAGAGTTATTGGCAATCACTGAATTAGTGACATTAAAAAAAGTGAGGAAGAGTAGGGAACATATATGAGAAGAATTTGAAACATAGAAAAGCTAGGATATACATTTGATTGAGTGGGCAAGGGAAAGAATGGATTCGGTGATACCATTTGGTATTAGGCTTACACACCTTGTGGATATATACATTCATTATTATTATTGTTTTAAAATATATTTTATTAATTTCAGAAAGGAAGGAAGAAGGAGAGAGAGAGATAGAAATATCAGTGATGAGAGAGAGTCATTGATTGGCTTCCTCTTGCATGCAACCCTATTGCGGGTGGAACCCACAACCTGAGAGCATGTGACCTGACTGGGAATCCAACCATAACCTCCTGGTTCATAGGTTGATGCTCAACCACTGAGCACCACCAGATAGGCTTGGTGAATATATTTCATGTTATCAGAATAAAAGAACATTAAACTGCATTTTGTTTTTTGTGTCACTAATGGTAAGGATTGAGGTGCTTTTGGCACGGCAGTGGAGATGACTAGAAAGAGGCAGATTGATCTGTGTCTCCAGAGTGAGCTTTTGGAAGTAAACTTGGACCATCAGCATGCATATGATAGCATTAAATGTCTGGGGATCAAAAGAGATGCCTAGATTAGAGACATGAATTGTGGATTCATGAATTGATATAACAAGTATTTGAAAGTTTGGAGGTGGGAAGCAGAAGTTAGACCATGGAAAGCCTTTAAAACTGGGAGAGCACGTTAAGTTAGGGAAGAAGAGGTCAGAAACATGATACGTAGGATAAATCAAAACTTAAAAGGCGTAAGACAAGTAAACAGTGAAAAATTGTTTCTTTGGGACTCCAAAACATGGAGAATCGGCCAAAGATAGTCAGTTGTTCCAAATAGCACAGGAAGATCAAGTATGATAATGGCCAAGAGTATTCTTTTTAAATTTGGCAACTGAGAGGCCACTAATGATATTTTCTAGAGTAGATTCAGAAGAATAGTGGGTGTGATTAAAGCCAGACTGCAATGATTAAAACTTATTTGAAGGCTAGGAAGCAGATTCAGTAAATATAGAAAGTTGTTTTTAATATCGTAAGTAAGCAAAAATTTTTACCAAGCTCAAAAGTATGTAGATGCACATGTACTCACTCATTGTTAACAGGAGTATAAACTGATGCAACCACTTTGTAAAAAAGTTTGGTATTATCTTCAGAAGCTGAACATGATTCAGTAATTCTAATCCTAAGTGTATATTCGACAGAATACTTGCACAGGTAGAGCAATACACATCTACAGGAATGTTCATTGAAGTGCTATTCACAATATCAAACATCTCAAAACTACTCAAATTACTATTTCTGGGAGAATAAGTGATATCTCTGTGATTTATTCACGAATAGAATTTATGTAACGGTCAAAACAAACTAAAATGTTATCCCACAGTGTGTATGGGTCTTAGCAAGAAGATATAAACTGAAAAAGAGTGCATACAAACATTTTTGTGTACCATGATACCACTTTAAGGTTAAAAAATTAAAAACAAATAAAATAGAAGGTATGACTTTAGGAAATACATAAAAAGGCAATAAAGCTATATGTAAAATGTATCTAGAGAGCAATTATGATGATATTCAGTCACACTGTTTGAGAGAGGTAGGAGGATGGGGTAGAGTGAAATAAAAAAAATAGGTAAATATAATGATTGAGGTCCTAGCTATAGTTTCGGATAACTAACAAATTGACTAATGAAAGACAGAATGAGAAAAAGTCCTTGAGCAATGATGAAGGTGTCTCATGAATAATATTATCCTGGCACCCAGGGTCTAGAATTAAGAAGAAACAACTCTGTTATAAAGGGTATGAAAAAGAAAAGATAGGAATTTTTGTGGAAAAGGTGACTTGGATCGACCATATGCAAGAGAAAAGAAACATTAGAGGGAAAATGTTGAAGATTCAAGAAATAAATAGAACAGTCGGAGACCATGATTACTAAAGATGCAATAGGGGATAAAATCAAGACTAGGGGTGAGAGTTTCAGATATATAAAAATTACTTTTTATTGATTTTTAGAAATAGAGAAAGGGAGAGGAAATAGAAATATCAATGAGAGAGAAATATCCATCTGCTGCCTCCTGCATGTTTTCTACTGGGGAGCAAGCCAGAAATCCAGGCCTTTGCCCTGAGCAGGAATCAAACCTCTTGGTGCATGGGTCCATCTGCAACCACTGAGCCACATTGGCTAGGGAAGTTTCAGATTTGTTCAGTGGTCAGAGAGTGACTGATGGATATCTGTATTTAAAGGAGACACAGGAAGGCGAGGGTAAGTATGCCTGATAGTGACTACTTCTATGTGAAGTAGCAGATGAGGCCATCTGAAGGGGAGAGTCAACCAGTGTATTAGATCATGTAGGACAAGTTTAAGTGTGTGAAATAGCTGTTGAATTGGAAAAATGGTGTGACTCAATAACTATACTGTGTAATATTGAGGGGTGAGAGAGTGATGAAAACTAAATGTTCATGAGCATTGATCTGTATCAGCACCATTTTGTTCGTTGTCATCTGACTTTCAGAAGCTTGTGTGAAGGAGATGAGGTGGTAAGTGAAGGAGTGCTTTGGAATTGGCTATTTTTAGATGTGAATAAAGACTATGTTGCAAGATTGTTGGAGGGATTGTCAAAATTGGTTCCTTATTGTTTGGCCTTGGATAGAAAAAAACAAAAAAAGGAGCCTAACCGGTTTGGCTCAGCGGATAGAGCATTGGCCTGCAGACTCAAGGGTCCCAGGTTCGATTCCGGTCAAGGGCATGTACCTTGGTTGTGGGCACATCCCCAGTGGGGAGTGTGCAAAAGGCAGCTGATCAATGTTTCTCTTTCATCGATGTTTCTAACTCTCTATCCTCTCCCTTCCTCTCTGTACAAATCAATAAAATATAGATATGAAAAAAGGAGAAGGAAATTGATTAATCACAAGAAATGATAGTTTTTAGGAACTGGAGGTGTTAATGTGTTGTTTAAATTTCAGGTCCATTATATAAATTTTGGAATGGAATACTGAATTGGAGCAAAAGTTATATTTGTCATAACTGAGAACATTCAGAGACTGTGCCATTGATGCAGTTAGGTTTTTACAAGTAGCCATTGAATTTGACTGAATGATGGTGGGTAGTAGCAGAATTGGAAATAAAGATTCTCAGGTGTGAAACAAATCCTCAATGGACTTTAAAAAATTGTGTACACACTTAAAGAGCCATTTACTTTATGTTTTTACATTTAAAAAGTTTATCTTTATTGTTGAAAGCATTACAGAGGTCCCCTTTCTTCCCGTCCTCCGCTTTGACCCATTCTAGCTCACACCCACTCCCTACCTCAGGCCTTTACCACCTATTGTCTGTGTCCATTGCTTATTCGTATATGCATACACATTTTTACATTTTTTATTCATGAGTTGTGGAAAGATATTGCTACTTCTGACTGAAATTTTTAATTTTTGTTTTGCACATTAAAAGAAGCCCTCTGAGCTCTTTCCCCAAGTATATTCAACAAATTCATTATAAACTTACACTAAACCCCTAGTTCTAAATGCAAAAAATGCTAAGCAAAACAGTCAATTTCATGAGCTTTGAAATATTTCTTTGAAGAATAGATGGCATAGCAATTAGTTAATATTTTATTTCCAGTTTATATTTTCTATTTTCTAAATGTTGATTACTGTTTTATATACTTGAAAAAGTAATATGTAGAAGGTTATAGTTTCATTTAAAAATCCATTTTATGTCTGATACCTCAACACATTTAACCTTTCATTTTCCCCCGATTGCACTTCTGTTTTGTCAGCATCATTCACTTTGTCATTTAGAATTAGAGTAAGTTATCATAATAAAGTGATCTGTTAAAGCCATTCATCACCTTTATTTTATAGTATGGATTAAAGATTTTCAGATCTCTTCTGTGAACAAAACTCAAACTATGACAGACACACCAGAAGTTGAAGATCACCCGTCTCACCCTGCTTCACCGCCTCTTGCTGGTATGTACTGAATACTTAAACTGATAGCTCACAGATGTTTCCTCCCCCCATGGAATTATCCCCCTTTGTCCCATTTTAATAGGTAACTTAAAACTTTATATGGTACTTTTCAGAATCTTTAATTTTGCTCACCTTTCCTCATCAAATTAATTTTCATTATTATAGCTAATTGAGAGCTTGACTTTCACGAACAAGAAGTCCTTTTTATAGTATCGTATTGATTTGATAATTTCAGTATTTTATCCTTATGGATAAATGTTACCTAATATAGATCCCTTGGAATTAATACCATTCCCATACACCCACTTTGAAGAGTTATTTCCTTCATGGAGAACTGCCCCATATTGCTGCAGTTTCTTTGTACCTGAGAAATCCAGATTCCTCAGTGCAGTCTTAGTAGTGGTCTTGGTTCTGTCAGAGAGTATCTGGCTCCACACTATTATCTACAGAATTTGGCAGAAGAGCTATTCTCAACACTCCAACTTTTGGGATACAGGGAAATCACTTATTTTCTGAATTAAACCATAAAATACATAAAAATTACAGTCTCCAGATGCTCTTGTGGATGATGGTGGTTTTTGTTTTCAAGATAAAGATTATAACACATGTCAAGAAAAGTGGTCCTGCTGTGGAGAGAACTGTTATCATTTTTCAAAAGACGAGGGAACTTGGACTGAGAGTAAGAAGTCATGCCAAGACCTTGGTTCTAGTCTCATTAAGATTAAAAGCAAAGAGGAGCAGGTATGTTCCCATTATTAAAACTGAGTAAGTGCTTCCTGAGAAGCTCATATGTACTGAGTTAGGGCCATTGGTTGGTTAAGCTTTCCTCCAATATTACGTGGTCAAAGTGGTTTGAAGCCCTTGTACATAGTGAAGATTTACCTCCAGAGGAGGGGACACAGGTGTAACGGAGACTCGAGAGAGCCACTGTTTCAAACCAAGAGAAATAGCTTTGCTGCAGGTGCCATAGAATAATTTTCAGTCTTTTTATTCTATCTGTTTTATCTTCACATGTCAGTATATATCAGACTGTTTAGGATTTAGCCTCTTGGGACTAATACATGGGAAGGAAAAACTGCCTTCAATGATATGAGGAGTCTAAAAGACTACTTCTCATTGTACTGAGCTTTCTTCTTCCACCATCAATAGTTGGGAGGGATCATTCTTCTCAGGGAAGACGAGTCACTCTCATGGGCATGGGAAATATAGAATGAAAAATTAAGGGAATGAATATGCCTGAAAATGAATTTCACTTATCATTCATAATCCAGAATGATAGAAGAAGCTTCTGTTTCCCAGAAGAGAAAATCTAGGTCACATTTGCAATCATTAATAACATTTGGGAATATGAAGCCAATCTGACAGATTCTGTAATTTCCTTTGAATGATTCAATTTAGGCACTGGATTCCATTCATGGTATTTAGTCCTGTTAATGTTATTATTCCTACTAATATTTTATAAAGTATGAGCCAAAACCCCCATGTTTTCTTATTTATAAAATTATTCTATTATTAAAATGACAGTACGAATTAATTTTTCTTTACAAAAAAATGGATGTACTAAGTAATAGAATATGATGTCAAAAATAATCCAGGCATATTTTACAAATACCTTGATCTAAAACCTCATTTTTTAAAATCAATCAATTCCTAAATGATAGGTTTTGTTCTACTCTCAGGAAATTAACTTTATTTATAATCCATATTTTTCTTGTAATTTCTAATCCATTCTCCTCAGTTTTATTTCTGGACTATAGAGTTTTAATGAAACTGCTTATGTCTGTCATCCCTGTATTTCCATGAACTATTGTAGCTCATTGAAATTTCTTGAAACTTTGGCTGTTGGTAAGAGCAAATGGGAGGCTTCATATTATTATCTCACTTGATAATGACCTTGTGTCAACATCTCAAACTGGAATACTGACAGATTATATAAATTCTGTGACACATTTTGTTACAGAGCACATTCTTCTCACACTACTGCTTTAGAATTTTCAGTGTGTGATTAAAGAGTGTAATAAAAGCCTAAGAGTGAATTAAATCCACTGATATTTGAAATCAGAGATTGGCTTTATACATTTTGTATACCACTAGCATCTAGCAAAAAGAAATGTGAATGAAATAATGAATGAACATTTAATTTTAGTACTTCTTCAGAGCCCTAGGAATTATAAAGTATATTTTTGACATGCTGTATTATACCCTTATGTTTTCCTAGGCATTTAAAGATAAACTATGTCAATTTTCCTCTATACAATTTAGTCATAATGAAAAATGTTGGGTGGGATGTGGAAGGAGAGAGAGAGAGAGAGAGAGAGAGAGAGAGAGAGAGAGAGAGAGAGAGAGAGAGAGAGAGAGAGAGAGAATAAATGCATTGTTATTGCATTTAGGAAAATAAATTAATTTATAGCAAAATTAGTGCCTGGTCAGTTTATTCTAGGGGTGCTTGAAGATAAACGTGCCCAGTATTTTATGAGAGACCTTTATAGGTACAGTGTTATAATTGATAATATGAATAATAGTAGTAGTTTTAATTTTCTTGCAGACCTTTCTTCAATCAAAGATCAAATACAGAGGTTGGATTGGATTACATAGAAAAGGAGCTAATCACCCTTGGGTGTGGCTGGATAACTCAACACCATCTCAGAAACTGTAAGTTTTTATTTCATAGTCTTCCCCTCCATTTCTTTCTCAGTAACTGATTCATAGATTATAAACCATGAACAAGAAAATATTCGTAGGAATTAGGTCACATCTCTAATTCCATTTGACCTCATTTCTCAGACAGGCAAACAAGTGCAAATCTCAGTCCCAAAGAGCATTATTTCTTCCCATGTTTATAATTATATATATTTATACATATTATATATTATATATAATTATTAATATTATATATTAAATATAATTATTATATTTAATATATAAATTACATATTAAATATAATTATTTATTATATATTAAACATATATTAAATAGTCTCTCTCTCTCTCTCTCTCTCTCTATATATAGAGAGAGAGAGAGAGAGAGAGATATTGATTTCAGACAGGAAGGGAGAGGGAGAGAGAGTATAGAAACATCAATGATGAGAGAGAATCATTAACTGCTGCCAGTTGCATGCACCCCACTAGGGATGAAGTCTGCAACCCAGGCATGTGCCTTGACTGGGAATCCAACCATGGCTTCCTGCTTCACAGGTTGATGCTCAAGCACTAAGCCATGCTGACCAGGCTCCTCCCATGTTTTTTTAATGAAGTGTTCAGACCCAGTAAAGCAACATTTTGTTTTGTATCATTCTCCGGTGTACTCTGTGATACTAGCTCAGACTATTCCAAAAAATTCAAGAGGAAGGAACACTTGCAAGCTCATTTTATGAAGCCAGCATCACCCTAATACCAAAACCAGGTAAAGACAACACAATGAAAGAGAATTACGGGCCAATATCCCTCATGAACATAGATGCCAAAATCCTCAAGAAAATCTTAGCAAATCAGATCCAGCAGTACATCAGAAAGATCATACACCACGACCAAGTAGGATTTATCCCGGGGATGCAAGGATGGTACAATATCCACAAATCAATAAACGTGATACATCACATAAATAAACCAAGAGAAAAAACCCCACATAATCATATCAATTGATGCAGAAAAAGCATTTGACAAAACCCAACACCCTTTCTTGATAAAAACTCTCAGCAAGGTGGGAATAGAAGGATCATACCTCAACATAATAAAAGCCATATATGACAGGCCCACAGCCAACATCATACTCAATGGACAAAAACTAACACCATTTCCCCTAAGAACAGGAACAAGATAGGGATGCCCACTCTCACCACTCCTGTTCGACATAGTACTGGAAGTATTAGCCATTGCGATTAGACAAGAAGAAGTAATAAAAGGCATCCAAATTGGAAAAGAAGAAATAAAACTGTCCTTATTCACAGATGACATGATATTGTACATAAAAAATTCCAAATACTCCATCAAAAAACTATTAGACTTAATAAATGAATTCGGCAATGTAGCAGGATACAAAATTAACACCAAGAAATCTATGGCATTTCTATACACCAATAGTGAACTTACAGAAAGAGAGACTAAAAAAGCAATCCCATTTACCATCACACCAAAAAAATTAAGATACCTAGGAATAAACTTAACTAAAGAGGTAAAAGACCTCTACTCAGAAAACTACAGGACACTGACAAAAGAGATAGAGGAAGACATAAACAGATGGAAGAACATACCGTGTTCATGGATTGGTAGAATCAACATCATTAAAATGTCCATACTACCCAAAGCAATCTATAAATTCAACGCACTTCCCATTAAAATACCAACAGCATATTTCACAGACCTAGAACGAACTCTCCAAAAATTCATCTGGAATTAAAAAAAAGACCCCGAATAGCCGCAGCGATCCCGAGAAAGAAGAACAAAGTAGGTGGGATCTCAATACCAGATATCAAGCTGTATTACAAAGCCACTGTTCTCAAAACTGCCTGGTACTGGCACAAGAACAGACATATAGATCAATGGAATAGAATAGAGAACCCAGAAATCTACCCGAACCAATATGCTCAATTAATATTTGACAAAGGAGGCAAGAACATACTATGGAGTCAAGACAGTCTCTTCAATAAATGGTGTTGGGAAAATTGGACAGATACATGCAAAAGGATGAAACTAGGCAGGGGTGGGCAAACGTTTTGACTCGAGGGCCACAATGGGTTCTTAAACTGGACCGGAGGCCGGAACAAAAGCATGGATGGAGTGTTTGTGTGAACTAATATAAATTCAAAGGAAACATCATTACATAAAAGGGCACAGTCTTTTTTTTTTTTTAGTTTTATTCATTTCAAATGGGCCCGATCCGGCCCGCGGGCCGTAGTTTGCCCACGGCTGAACTAGACCACCAACTTACACCATACACAAAAATAAACTCAAAATGGATAAAGGACTTAAATGTAAGACGGGAAACCATAAAAATACTAGAGGAATCCAAAGGCAACAGAATCTCAGACATATGCCGAAGCAATTTCTTCACCGATACAGCTTCTAGGGTAATGGAAACTAAAGAGAAAATAAACAAATGGGACTACATCAAAATAAAAAGCTTCTGCCCAGCAAAAGAAGCCATCAACAAAACAACAAGAAAGCATGGGACAACATATTTGCCAATGTTATCACCGATAAGGGTTTAATCTCCAACATTTACAGGGAACTCATACAACTTAACAAAAGGAAGATAAACAATCCAATTAAAAGATGGGCAAAGGACCTAACTAGACTCTTTTCAAAAGAGGACATTCAGAAAGCCAAGAGACCTATGAAAACATGCTCAAAGTCACTAATCATCTGAGAGATGCAAATCAATACAACAATGAGGTACCATCTCACACCTGTCAGAATGGCTATCATCAACAAATCAACAAACGACAAGTGCTGGAGAGGATGTGGAGAAAAAGGAACACTCATGCGCTCCTGGTGGGAATGCAGACTGGTGCAGCCACTGTGGAGAACAGTATGGAGTTTCCTCAAAAAGTTAAAAATGGAACTCGCATTTGACCCAGTGATCCCACTTCTAGGAATATATCCCAAGAAACCAGAAACACCAATCAGAAAGGATACATGCATCCCTATGTTCATAGCAGCACAATTCACCATAGCTAAGATTTGGAAACAGCCTAAGTGCCCATCAGCAGATGAATGGATTAGAAAACTGTGGAACATCTACATGATGGAATACTATGCTGCTGTAAAAAAAAAAAAGGAATTCTTACCATTTACAATAGCATGGATAGAACTGGAGAGCATTATGCTAAGTGAAATAAACCAGTCAATGAAAGAAAAATACCACATGATCTCACTCATTTATGGATAATAAAGGCCATTATAAAGTGATGAACAAAAATAGATACAGAGGCAGAGCAGCATCAAACAGACTGTCAAACTACAGTGGGAAGGCTGGGGAGGGTTGTGTGTGTGGTGGGGTAAGAGATCAACCGAAGGACTTGTATGCATGCATATAAGCATAACCAATGGACACAAGTAACTGGGGGGTAGAGTAGGCCGGGGGAAGGTCAAGGGAAACAAAAAAGAAGACATATGTAATACTCTTTGTAATACTTTAAGCAATAAAACAAACAAACAAAAAAAGGTGTGGTTGGAGGAAAGGGTCAATATCTAACAATGAAAGAAAGTTGTATTGAAACCCAGCCCTCGTAAGTAAAATTTGTAGCCATTTACTTGATATCATTTAAGAATTAAAAAAAATCTATTTGAAATAATCATTTAGCAATCTTGAATCTCTACTATGGTATCATTCTTGACATTATTTTGCACAAATCTACATAATTCCTCGTAGTCCTCTCTCATTAGTAATTGAACATAGATTGGTTAGTTGCAGCCTTGCCCCATCATTTAAAACACATGATTTCTATTCTTATTGTTCAGTTTCACAAAGTTTTAATGCTTTGTTTGTTGTGGAAGATATTAAGCTCTGTGGGAAAGATATGCACTCTTGTTTACATGTAAATAAGCACCTTCTATATTCAAAGTAAGGCTAACAAAAGAGACCCATGCTCTATGCACATTAATCTGAATCTTAGGAAACTAGAAATATTCTTCTATCTAGTTACAGTGTGTCAGGCAATACACATAAGTTAAATTGTAGACGTTTCAGAAGTCTCAGAAAAAATTAGAATGTACATGTCCAATCCATGTATATATCCCACTCTATACTTCCATTTCTACTCCTTGCCTATTTTAACTGTCAATGGCATTATTTCCATTAGTTTTAGATAGAATTATACTTTTTTATTTTATAGATATTTATCTGTCACAAAATGTTTATGTTCATCAAAATAATTATACACATATATTTTGTGAAAATTAGATTTTGCCTACGGAATGACTTTCTGAAATAAATATATTCTCTAATGCAGGAATTTTAAAGATACTGGACCAAATGCACACTGTGGATTCCTCAAGCCAACAAATATTGCTACTGCTGTTTGTACTAAACGTTCTCCTTTCATTTGTAAAAAGAAGATTTCCTGCCTTAATAATTAGCAAAACTATAAATAAAAATCTTAATATTTACAGTCTTTAATAACTATTAGGGAAATCCTGGGTATTCACTCAAATTAGTCAACTATCCCTGATTTATAAAGGGTTATGATCTTTTCAAACATCCTTGAGCAAGGATAAAATAAGAAGTTTTATAAATAGTAATATTAAATAAATAGAAAAATAAGTTTGTTTGAGATTTCCAGAACTAATAAAGTTGAGAACATGAAACAAATTTTTTTCATTTATTTTACATTTATATTACATCTATTTTTTAAATCATTGAATGAAATTTATTTCATCAGTTAATTAATATAATTCATCCTGTTTAAAATCTAGGATGCACAAAATGATGAACAAATTCTTTTTTCCCATCTTGTCCCCTAGTAACTAGTTCTCTTCTTAGAGTCAAATATGTACCTAGTTTCATATATATTATCCCAGAGATATTCTAGGAAAGTACAACTTTATACATGCTATCTGCTAGACCAAATGTTATGTAACTATAAACCTTAGTCCTGCTTATTATTATTATTATTATTATTATTTTTATTTAGAAAATATAGCCTTCAGGTCATTCATTGTAAGCAGCCACAAGTATTACACTAAATGGATGTATAAAAATTTGTTTAACCAGTGTTATTGCAATAGATATGTAGGTTTGTCCCAGAATTTTGCAATTACAGAAAAATGTTCAATCAACAGCCCTTAATACAGTACCATTTGCTAGAGAGCATATCTACAGGGTACATCTGTAGCAGTGTGATTTCTGTATCTAAAGGTATGTACATTACATTTTAATAGATATTTAATGTCTAAGTAGAGGTTGTACACCTGTTCTCCAAGCAACAGTATTCAACAGTGCCTGCTTCCACCATAGACTGTTACCAATCTTTTTGGTTTTGCCAATAAAATCTTTCCCATATGTATGTGCACATTACTTTCTGAAAACTGAACTGGAGGAATCTGGAATACTGAGACAGAGCCAGACCGAGTGTCCAGGTCAAGGTTCACTCCAAGGAGAGGCACCTACACCACCTGGTGGCTGGAGAAGACAAGACATAAAGACCAACTGCAGTCACTTTTCAAATTGCAGCCACAGAATGAATTCCTATGGGAGGGGTGGAAGGTCCCTCCATGCTGCTATGTGCAGAGGCCCCGGAACCACTCTGACATCCCCACAGGCTGGGGGACCCGCTGTCCCAGAGGCCTATTGCACCTCTTGTTCATGTGAGGGCACCACAATTCAAAGGCACTGGGCACCAGGAACCAAACTAAGGTGTTTGCAGAAACCTGGTCCCAGGAGCTGGCTCTTTGGGGAGCAAGGCATATGCCTAATTAAAAGCCATAACCTACACGTATGCACATTTCTCTTGTGAATGCTGAGCTGGGAGAAGCCAGACTGTCTTGCCAGGGCAGAGCCTGATAGCCCAGCCAAATTTCCCCCCATGACAGCGGGCCATCTTGATGACTAGAAAGTCGGGGACCACAGCTGGCTGAGAGTCCAGGTGGGGACTGACTGAAGTGGGGCTGCTATAAAGCTGCAGCCTCACAACGATGATTTTTGGGAGAAGTGAGGGCTTCTGTTAAGGTGGGGACTCTGTGGGGGGTTGGGAGCTCCCCCAAAGAGCCCTCAGTTCTGAAAAGACCTTGCCTGCACCAGGTGCATATTGCACATGACTGGCAATGCAGGTCAGGGGCACTGGGACCAGGAAGCAGGCAGTTTGAGAAATGCCTGGACCGAGAAGTTGGTTCTTGGAGGGACAAGGCATAAACCTAATTAAAACACTAACCTACACATATGGGCATTTACCCAGTGAAGGCTGAGCTGGGAGGATCTGCACTGCCTTGCCAGGATGAAGCAGGGCAAACTGGCCAAGGTTCTATCCATCCAATGAGAGAAACCTGGACATATTGGTGACACAGAGTGGTTAAGTACTTTGCCCAGAGTCACACAGCTGGTAAATAGCAGAGCCAAGATTCAAACTCCAGCATTCTGGACAGCTCCTGGAGTCCCACAGGTGGTTGTGGGGAGCATGTCACATGCAGACAGACTGGGACCCCCCCCCCCCCCCACCCCACGGCTCCTCACCCCCTCCTCCCCCGGCCACAGCTCAGTGTGGTGAGGGGAGGAAGTCAGGGAAAGCCTCACTGAGAAGGTGACATTAGAACAAAGACCCGAAGGAAGTGAGGGAGTCATGTGGACATTGGGAAGAGCATTGTAGAAGGAGGGACCAGCAAGAGTGAGGGAAGAAATTGCCCTGATAAGTAGAAGACAGGGGGCAGTTTGCTGGAGTGGGGTGCGCAAGAGAGAGAGAGAGTGGTGGCAGAAAATGAGATCGGCCTTGTCATCAGGCCTGGTAAGGCCTGGCTTTGCCTCAAGAGTGTCCATGAGGGTGTGGAGCAGAGGAGAGCTGGGGCCAGATGTTTTCTGAGAGGGATCCCTCTGGTTGTGTGGGGAGGGCAGACTGTGTGGGAGCACAGCCCGAAGAGGGAGGACTCCTGGTGGGTGGTGTGGCCCAGGTGGAGGCTGTGGCATGATGGGAAGTGGATGGGTCCTGGGAAATTCTAAAGATGGAGCCACTGGAATTGTACTTTCCTCCCTCCTCCCACCCCCTGCACAGGTGAGAAAACTGAGGCTTCATGAGGTGGAGCCATTAGTCCAGGTCACACAGCTATAAGCAGTGACAGAACCAAGATTCTGACTCAAGCTCTCTGACTACAAAGTGAGCCCAGGATAAAGGTTAGGTGGGAAAGTACAGGATTTGGTTCTGAGTCAATGGGCAGAATATGACTTGTGAAGGCAGTGTAGATTAGTAGGTAAGGTCACACGCTTTGCTGTTAAACTTGGGAGTCCACTAAGTACCAGCTCCTCCACTTGACTGCTGTGTAAACTTGGGCAAGTCACTTAACCTCTCTGAGCTGCATTTTCCTTATCCACAAAATGGGGAAGATAAATCTAAGAGAGCCTTCAATATGTGCATGCCTGTGCTGCCCTAAGGACAGACTGTATACATGAGGCTGCTGGTCTTGGTGGCACCAGGAGAGCGGAAATGGAGCAGGGAAGGACAGGAAGAGATCTGCAGGCACGGAAGAGACTGATCTTGGTCTTTACACATCTCTGTACTCTTTGCTTCCTTCCAAAGAGCATGCATTCTTTTGCTATTAAAACAAAAAAGCCCCAGAAAGTGAAAGTTAAATGAAATAAAGGTCCTACCTTCCTCCGACAGTGTGGTGAGCATTAAATAAGTTAGAACAAAAAAGTGAATAGAATAGGACCTGGTATGTAGTAAGTGTTGAGTAAATGTTAGTTGTTATAATAATAATAATTATATTATCATGACTATCATTATTACTTTTCAAGTAGCTCTGCAAAATCATTATGGTCTGTCACATAACTACAAAAGTAATGGGAATTCCCTTTAATACTGGGGGTATAGGGTGCCAGGTCTCTATCAGGCTGTGAAATTCCCTGTCTCTTAGAGGAGCCCCCAGCCCCCAATCTATATATAGGCTCCCCAGATCCACTGTATTATTTTGGCTTATGGTATAGCCTTTGGCGTGCCTGTTTGGAAAGAGTCTCTTATGCTGAGCTCATTTGAGACAGTTAATTAAGCCATGCCCAATGGAAGGTTGGGGTGGGGACAGGATGCTCTGTCCGCAATGGACAAATGAAGGTCCAGCCTTCTGTCATGAGCAGGGGCTCCGTGTCCCCCTCTGTCATCCAGGTGTTCTGTGGGCCAGGGGCAGAGGCTATTAAAGTCCACATAATGCAGTGACATCACGGGTCTGGGTATTTGTGGGAACCAAAGGCATACGTACCACTTTTCGCTTCAAGTCTGTTATGTCTGATAAATTATAGCTGTCCTCACTCTCTTTTGGTATCCACACGCATGTAGTATCTTTTTCCATTTCTTCAGATTGAGCCTATGTCTCTCCTTAAAGCTGATGTGAACCTCCTGTAGGCAACATATAGCTGGATCTGTTTTTTTTAACTTATTTTTATTTATTTATTTTTTATACACCCAGCCTCTTTGTGTCTTTGGATTGGAAAATTTAATCCAGTTATATTTAGAGTAATTATTGATATTTAAGGACCTACTAATGTCCTAATGCTGTGCTATGGGTTATTTTCTGTTTTGTAATTCTCCTTTTTTCTTCTTCTTTTCTTTCTCTTGCTGTGGTGCTTTGTGAATTGATGATTTTCCATGGTGGTATGTCCTGATTTTCTTTGTTTTATCTTTTGTGAATCTACTATGTGTTTTTGCATCTTAATTTCCATGAGTTTTACATAAAACATTTTACACATATCAGACTATTGTATGAAACAACTTAACTTTGATCCCACATAAAAACTATGCTTTTCCTCACATGCCTTATATTTTAAACAGCATAATTTACTTCTTTTTATATTGTCTACTCATTAAAAATTATACTTGCTATAGTTATTTTTGATACTCTTGTCCTTAATGTTTACATTATAGTTAAGTGGTTAACATAGCATCATATTATATAACTAGAGTTTCCTAAATCTGACTATATGTTTACCTTTATCAGTGTGCTGTATATTTTCATATTACTAATATTTTCATTTCTGCTTGAAGAACTCCTCTTCAACACTTACTGCAAATCAGGTCTACTGGTGGTGATCTCCCTTAGTTTTTGTTTATATGAAAAATACTTTATTTTCCTTTGTTTCTGAAGGATAACTTTGTCAGATAGATTATTCTTAGTTGGCATTTTTTTCTTTCATCACTTTGAATATATATATTATCCAAATCCCTTCTGTCTTTTAAGGTTTTTTGCTGAAAAATACACCAAGAACCTAAGCAGAGTTCCTTTGTACGTTTCCTCCCTTTATCTTTTGCTGCCTTTAGAATTTCCCCTTTGTTTTGATTTTAGACGGTTTTACTATAATGAATCTTAAATAAGATTTTTTGGATTAAAATAATAGGGTGATTTATTTGCTTTACCCACTTAGATTTCTAAATCTTTCCCAGGTTTTCAAAGTTCTCTGTCATTGTTTTTTCCCCCAGTAATATTTCTGTCCCCTCTATTCCTCTTCTCCTTCTGGAACTCCAATGGTTCTGATATGGTTTCCTTAAAATGCATCTCATAGATCGTTTAGGCTTTCTCCCTTTTTCATTCTTGTTTTTGTTGTTGTAGTTGTTGTTTTCTTAGTGTGATATTTCAAAATTTCTGTCTAAACTTCACTATTACTTTAATCTGTTTGGCCTATTTTTATTTTGATGCTGTCTACTGCACTTTTATATACTTCCTCGAATTCTTCAGCCCTAGAGTCTGTGTTGGTTTTCTTTTGTTTCTTTTTTATGATTTCTATCTCTTTGTTAATTTTCTCATTTTGATCATGCATTGTTTTGTCATACTGTTTTCCTGATTGAATTGTCCTTTTGTCTTTTCTTGTAATACATCGAGTCTTCTTATATAGCCAATTTGAAAACTGTTGGGGATAAAATAATAGATTTTATGACTTTGTGTTTGGTAGTA